TCTACTTCTCAAAATATATGCTATGCTTCCAAGTTTCATGCTAACCACCACTTTGATAAATATGCAATCTGTATCCTTGCTAAAATCTTTGATTAAAAAATACCTAAATAGGGCCAACGGTGGGCCCTCATAGCCTACCATTAGAGACCACCCTCCGGGAGCCCCGGTAGTTCTCACACAGCTTAATTCATGGTTGTTCCAAGACCCAGTCTACATTTGACAATGAATTCACTCTTTCAGATGTGTATTCTGATTCACTGAGTTTTGAAGAATGCAAAATAATTAATGTATAAAATATTTGCAGCTATATTTGTTGAATAGAATATAAAGGTGGTAATACTTTTATGACAAAAATAATCCTCTGGAGACAAAGGACCAGTTCAGAGTATGATTTAAGAACAGAAAATCATTTTCTTTCCTGTCGAGTAGGAAGCCAAGTCTGGGGATGCCACAGGGATGATCACTGAGCCCTGGATGGGACACACGGAAACTCAGCTGTACTGTGGGAAACAGGTGATCAGTGACACGAGAGTACAAAAAGACTGGCAGCATTATTTCTCTACTGCTGAGTAACAAATTGCCACAAATTTAGCAGCTTAAAACAACCAGATTATTATCTAACAGTTCCGTGGGTCAGTCTTGTAGGTCAGATGAGTTCAGTTCTTTGCTCAGGATCACACCGGGCTAAAATCAAGGCGTGGGCTGCAGCTGCTAACTCCTCTGAGGCGTGGGGTCTGCTAAGCTGGTCGTTGGTGCAATTCAGTTCTTTGCATTGCAGCTCTGAGATCTGCATTTTTCTGCTGGCTGTTAGCGGGGGTGGGAGGATGGGTGGTGGTGGTGTTGGTGGTGTTGGTGGTGGTGATGGTGAGGCTGCTGTCAGTTCCCAAAGGCTCCCTACCACCCCCTGCCATGCCGCTCTTTCCACAGTATGGCAGTTTGCTTCTTCAAGAACAACAGGAGAATCTCTCTCTCTCCTTTCTGCTAAGATGGAGTCTTAGGTACAGCAGTGAAGAGAGTGACAACCCCACTATATTTCATGGGTCCCATCTACAGCAAAGAGAGGGGAGTATACAGGGCATGCACAGTAGGGGCAGGGACCCGAGGGGCTGTCATAGACTTCTGCCTGCCACAGTGGTTAATACTGTGAGGCCCAGAGAGGGCCAGCAGCAGGGGAGGGACCTGCTGTGGGCTTTGAACTTTACCCTGAGAGCAGTGGAGGCGCACTGACACGTGCCTCTCCCTTTGGGGAGGTACGAGAAACCGCTGTGAGTAGCAGAGGTTAAGAAAATATTCTGGGAAGCACTGCCCCCCAAGGGAATAGCATTCAATGGACCAAGGCAATTAATAAAAAGCACAGTCTAATCCACCTCTACGCTCGAAGCACCAGCTTATAATGTAGCACCTCACTTGCCTACTTGACAACTGTGAGAAAGCCAAACTGCACCTGACCTCCATTGTTATAATCAGGTGTGCCCTCCACATGCCAGACAGGAAAAAAAAATACTCGGCATCATTAGAGAAGCCTCTCCAAACAGAAACGTACTATCAAACACTGATCCTCCCAATAAGAAAAGTCTTGAGCCCCATTCCTGTAAGTTGCTGGCTCCCTTAAGAAAACACCTCTACACTCCCACCCCCAAACAGAAAACACCTGTATCTCTGACTTTTGGAATACATGGTATGTGAGGACCCACACAGATGGGCAGCATGTGAGGAAAGGCTGTTTTTCCACCAGTGACAACGATGAACATATTCACTGTAACTCTGTGCTCCTTTTCTCCCCTCCCTTTCAAGACTTGCTACATCTTTCATTTCGAGTATCCGCCTTTTCTAAAGGCTGGATACCCTTCCAAAGATTACACATAAAAATACTCTAATGTTTCATTTGTCTTCAAGTTTTCCATTCACAACTATGTCTATACACGGTAACCAAGAGAACAACCATGATATTTATTCTTAAATATAATAATGATAATAGCTACAAGGTGCTCTCTACACACCAGGCAATGTTTTCAGAGCTTTCTGTCCTCACACTCAGATGAGAAAACTGTAACATAGAAAGTTGAAGGAACTTGGAGATCACACAAGTTGTCAGTGGCCGAGATGGGATGGAAACCAAGGTGGAATAATTGCAATGTGTCACAGCATCCAAGTGAAAATAGACACCAACTACTCTCTTTAGGGTGGCCTTTGAGCCGCTCGATAAATGACGGCTGACCACCAATGGTTACTTTTAAGGTGACAGAGTCAAAAGTATAAAAAATAAAGATCTAAACACCAGGAGATTATGTTACAGGAGTGAGCAGTACCAAAACAGCAGTATAAATAAATCCAAGAAGTAGTTCTTAAAATAAGTCAAATAAACTTCAGAATTATAAAATAAACCAAGAAAAACACAGAGAAACACAGATCTAAAAATCTTAGAAATTATGTAAGAGAATACTGTATTCAACCTATGTTTGATCTTTTAAAAATATTACAAAATGGCAATTCTGAGATATACATGCATTTCCAAAATTGACAGAAGCAGCAAGAGACACGCTGAATAGACCAAGTGAATATAAACAACCAACAACAAATAGAGAAAATCTTAAGAAGTGGTAAAGGTATCATCTGGTTCAGAAACTAAACTAAGCATAGAAAATTCCACAGGAAACTTCTTCCAAATTCCCCAAGAAAATATGTAATTTCCATATGTACAAAGCACTGAAAGATAAAAACTTCCCAGTCATTATATGAAATAAACATCATTTTGATGTCAAAACTAACAAGACAGCATAAAAATTCAGCCAAAGGCCAAATCATTATGAAAATTGATGCAATGATCTGAAACAAATATTGAAGACAGCAGTGAGTTGGGAAAACATTTCATCATGACCAAGTAGGATTTGCTCCAAGAATAAAATATGATTAAATATTAGGAAATCTAGTACACCACTTTAATAGATCAAAGGCAACAATTACACAATAATTAAAAAACACTCTGTTTCAAGTCTGGTGAGTTGCAAACAATTCTCATTGGATACTCATAATATCCTTACAAGATATCTGTATTACTATGCTTACATTACAGCCTAGGAAACTGCAATTGGAGGATAACAATGCACTCAACAATTGTACAGGTGTAATTTAAGAGGAAGTGGGATAATTTGAGCCCAGGTCTGTGTGGCCATAAATCCTATACTCTGACTTCCATTGCATGTTAGTGTTGTAGGTGATAATTTATCAAAATAATCAAAAGTCATCTAATCACATTTCAAAACACTTCTTTGATTAAAAAATGCTCTTGTGCCCTGGCTGGTGTAGCTCAGTGGATTGAGCGATGGCCTGTGAACCAGACAATCGCGGTTCGATTCCCAGTCAGGGCACATACTGGGGTTGCAGGCCAGTTCCCTGCAGGCCAGTTATCAGCAGGGGACGCATGAGGGGCAACCATACATTGATGTTTCTCTCCCTCTCTCCTTCCCTTCCCCTCTAAAGATAAATAAATAAAATCTTTTAAAAAATTATTTAAAAAAAATGCTCTTGCCATATTTGAAATTTCTTTAACATGTTGGAAATACCTATTGATAGCTGTTAAAATTAGAAACAAGGCAAGACTAGAATACCACTAAGTTAAATATAACATTGCTATAGAAATTCTGGCTAATGCTATAAAACAATTATGAAGTAAGAGGCATGCTGTTTGACAAATAATAGAATGATTATTTGTTATAATAATATTTTTTATTAAGAAAATTCAGGAGAACTAGGTGAAAATGACTATCATTAAGGAATAGAGTAAAAAACAAAATATAAAAATGGCTTTCATATGACAGCAATCACCAATTAGAAAACAATGAAATTAAATAAAAACTCCATCATACCTAGGAATGACCTTAAAACGTGCAGGACTTGTATGAAGAAATAATTTTTCTGTCACATTGAATAAGACTTGGAAAACAGATGCATATTATAAAATAATTAAAAATTATAAAGATGCAAATCTTCAAAAATAATTCAGAGTTTATACCTAATTCCATGCAGAATACTCCAGGACTTTTTAATTTAAAAATTAATTTCAACATTCACCTTGAAGTACGCCCAGATAATAATGTTAAAGTACATTTAACATACTGAGTAATGAAGGGCTTGCCAAGTCAGAAATGAAAATGTGCTAAATAAAATACGATATGGTTTCACTACATAATCGATAGGCAGTTGAAGAAATGGATTGGAGAGCCCAGGTACAGAAATGTGTGCACCAATATAACTAAAGATAGATTTAATTAAAACTCAATGAAGGAAAAAGATTATTCAGTAAGTGGTGTTGGAGTAACTATTTGAATAATTAAAAATTATATCTCTACCTCATAGGGTATGTCAAACTAAATTACAGATGGATTAGATATTACATTAAAAACTAAATTATAAAGGATATGAACAACATAAATGATTATTTTTAGATATTGTGCCAAGCAAAGAATTTCCAAACATAGACATAGACATCAGAAAGTAGTAACACATTTGACTGCAGTAATAAACATGAAAAATTTGTATATTAGATAGCACAATACTGAAAATTAAAAGGCAAACACCAAACTAGGAAAATAATTTCCACAGATATGATATACAAAGAATCTTTAACAGACAGTTCAAAAACAAAATACTAACATAATGGATAAATAGGCAAAGAATATGGATCAAAAAGTTACCAAGGAATTGTTATAAATGTCCAATAAGCATTCAAAAAGAATTTTAAATGATTACTGCTTCGTGCTGTCGAGTGTGAGGAGAGACTGATACCCTCAGACACTGTCAGTAGGAATATAAATGAATACTTTTGGCCGTATCTAAGGAGAACTATAAAAATGTTCATGTCTTTTATACCTATCGTACCTACTGTTAGGTAGAAGCAGTTAAGAAGAGGGCAGAAGATACCCTGGCTGGTGTGGCTCAGACGGTTGGAGCATTGTCTTGTAACCAAAAGAGCACATAACTTTCCTGGTCCGGGCACATACCTAGGTTGTGGGTTTGATCCCCAGTCTGGGCAAATATGGGAGGCAACCAACTGATGCTTTTCTCTCGCATCGATGTTTATCTCCCTTCTTCTTTCTCTAAAAGGAATGAAAAAATGTCCTTGGGTGAGGATTAAAATAATAAATAAATAAGCTAATTAATTTTTAAAAAAGAAGATTGCAAACAAGAAGCTGGACACGCTGAACCTTCTAAGGAGATGAGGAAGTCTGCCTACGTGTTCCTCTAATTTTACTGCATGATCTCAGGGAAATGGTGGAGCGGGTGTCTCATAACCCACCTTGGCTTCTAAAAGGAATCATCCCAGAAACCATCTCTCCATCAGATCCGACTAATTGCTTCTCTGCTGCTTCCACTCTGACCTCTTCTCGCTCAGCCCCACTCTGCAAACCTCCCACTCAAAATCTGGCCACAACAAAACAACCCCAACACAGGAAGCAGATCTGCGGGGAGGTCAGCGTGCTAAGTGATTACTGAGGGAATGGTGTGTTTCTGCAGAAATGCCTTCTGCCTCCGCTAAATGATCAATTCATAACCCTACCCACTTTGGAAAGACCTTTCTCAAAAAACTTAGACTCCTGAAGACTGTCCTGCAAAGCCCTACTGCAATGATGATATCAGCAGTCCATTTCTCTTTTACCCACATAATTCAGGGGCCTTTACTAAAACCATTATACAGTCTCTCAATGATGCTCAGCAAATATTTACTGGGTAACCTCGAGGGTTCTGGGAAATATAATGCAGGTGTGGGAGGCTGAATAAAATGGTCCCCAGAGATGTCCACATCCTAATCCTGGAACCTGTGAACACGTAACATTACATGGCAAAAGGGACTTTATTTGTGATTAAGGTAAGGATCTTGAGATGGAGAGCTTGTCCTGCATTATTGGGGTGGGTCCATTAGAATCACAGGGTTCCTTATAAAGGAAAGGTTCAGGAGAGTCAAGAGGAGGAGATGTGACAAGAGAAGCAAAGGTCAGAGTGATACGGGCCAGAAGCCAAGGAATGTGGGCAGACTCTAGGAGCTGAAAAAGGCAAGCTTTTCCAGACAAGGAAAAGGCAAGGCAACAGATTCTCCCCTCATCTCCAGAAGGAACAAAACATGGCTGACCTATTTTAAACTTCTGATTTCCAGAGCTACAAGATAATAAATCTGTGTTGTTTTAAGCTACTAAATCAGTGATTTGTTATAGCAGCAATAGCAAATAAATGAAGTATGTTTCAGTGAAATCTAGAGCCTGCCTGCATGTAGCCATACTAAACCTTTGTCACTCGCAAAGCATTTCTTGTTTTTTGCCAGTTTAAATGCGTTACACTGCGTGCCATCTCTATGACTTACTCCTCCATGTTACAGGGTTCTCTCATCAAACATCTCGTGTCAGTCCCCCTCTTGGAAACTCACAATGTACTTTCCCATATTTAAAGGCTTAGTAGTCTCTTTTTTCCTCTGTGTTTAATTCAGAATTTTCCAAACGTATTTGTCCATAGAAGCTTCTAAACATCTATTTATAGCAACATCAATAACAGCAACAAATACTTATTGTTTTGCATACTTGCTATGTGTCCACCCCTAGGCTGGGTCCTGAGAAGAACAGGGATGAGCCCATTCTTTAAACTGCTTCTTAAAAAGTTCAAAGACACTTTGATTAACTCTATTAATTTCCAGGATGCTTGACACATACTGTCTTTTTAGTTATCCTCATAGGTGTTTTTTTATTGTACCCAATGGGAAGTTAAGTTCCCAGACAGTGGGCATATTTATTTACAAGCCTATATTCTGCAGCATCTTTCCTCAGGAAGCTAATATACCAGTTGATAAGACATGCAGATAGTTACAATAAAAAATATTGGGGGAAGGAAGATGAGAGATTTTTGTCACCTCATTTAACAAACAGAAGAATGCTGAAAGAATAAACTGTCCTAAACTGTCTTAGTGAGGGGTCCCTTGATTTTATCATTTAGAAGCGTTTCCTGAATCACATGAACTTTTAAAGTCTTCAAGAAACAGTCATACTTCAGGTAGCACGACACACACAGTTAACGTCTCCTGCTCCATCGTCACGGTCTCTCCTTCCCTCTATCATTTCCCTCCCCTTCCGAAGACTTTGATGCCTTCAGAAGTCTGATGTCTTGATGAAGGTACTTCTTTGACTTATCAAACAGCATTGTGGTACAGTTGGATCTTTTGGTTAATCACTGCATCAAGTAACAATATTACGAATTATTAATTATACCCTTATTTTCCCAAAAGGAATAAATAACTGTTCAACATACACCACATTCTCACCCAGCTGCAAATGGCTGATCCTGCTGTTTCTCTTTTAAAGTACTTGTTACAACTTTCCAGTCTCCTGTGCTCGCAGGGCACACAATTACGCAATGTTGCCTCTGTTTTTGTAAGGAATCAAGTAATTTTAAAACAACGGTAGATGAGAACTTTTTACCAACACCTATTTTACTTATAAAATTAACAATCATAGCTTCCCCCTTTCCAATAACTTTTCAACTGAAATCAGTGGAATTCTAAAGAACTACATATTTATTTTTAAATTCCATTAGGAAAAATCTGAAGCACTTAATGCATGTTATAAATTATAATACATTACCATGAGAAAACAACCTCCACTCTTCTTATGTGTTATTGAATATTTTATACAATTCATCATTCTGTAACAATTAACTAGGTTTAGTCATAAAAATTCAACTTCTGAACCTAAAAAAAATCTCCACTACTCAGACAGGTCCAAGTGAACCTGCAGTAAACTTAGAGACTTTTTTCACACCACGCCCTTCTTTGAAGTAAGTGGGAAGGTCTGATCTGAAAGGGAACCGGTTTTGTTTTATCTTGCCCTGTTAACATATTAAATCTAAGTTCAATTACAATATGTCAGTTTTCAATTACATAAGCATTGTGACGCAGAGATATTTTTACTCTTTCTACTTTGATTCTCTTTATCCTGTGTCTAATCAGTGACATTAAGACCTTCTTTGGAATGAATGATGGTGGTCACCTTTAATGTAAATTTAAAATTCTACACACCAAAAAAAAGCCTAAGGAATGTGTCCTGGAATGGTCTGATCACTTCTGTGCTCAGGATTTGTCAGTGCCATGCTCTGCACATGGAAGGGGATGGAGAAGGAAGGATCCATATTTTACTGGCCACCTAAATGGCATCATAGGATTCTGAAATATAGAGATAAGTAGTTGCTTCTCGCTGACCAGCAAGATTGCTGCAGATTTCAAGGTGAACATATTTGTCATCAAAATGAAGTAATTCAGCAAAGGACAGGTCCCAGTGACAGAGCCACAGGGGAAACTACACCTGCTTGTTTGTTGGGTGAAGTTTCACCAAAGAGTAGTAGTATCCGCTTGAAGAGTATCAAGCTAGTAAATCATTTAGACAACCCAAATAGGACAGAAATAGGTCAAAGTCAAGGTGGATTAGTCAGGTAACTTTCAGTGATGAGAAAAAGAACCCCAATTTTCAAAAGCTCATCAGAAAAGGAGCTTTAATGGACAGATTCGAAGGCATCTTCTCTAAGGGCCAGGGAGCTCCTCTTGGCCTGGATGCCCACAGCATCTCCATCTGTCGTCCCTGCTTGTCCCTGTTTCCATCTTTTTTTCCACAGACAGATGCCCTTTCCATAAATATGGCCAGTCGCAGCGTGGCTTCCACCAGCTCTGGTGCAGTCACGGGAACGCCCACTGTCCAACCGGTCGTCCCCCATCCTGTGGACCAGCAGATCCTTGATGTCAAAACACTGGTGAGCTGCGCTTTGCTCACAGCGTGCTTTGGAGGTGCTTTGGAGCTCAATCAAACAAGTGGTCATAAACTACACTGACTTCTACTGGGCAGCTTTTCTGTTTTAGAGTATTAAAGGCATTTCTAATACACCATGATTAGAACCATGTAATAAAAATAAGTGTAAGCAAAAAAGACTGGAGGGAAAGACACTAGAGTCCTAAGTTCTATTTGGGAAATGCAATTATAAATGATTTTTCTAATGTCCACTCTCTAACTGTTTTATAATGTAAATATTTTAATAATGAAAGTTTTATTTATATATTTAAAAATTATGCTTACTTTTTGTAAATGCCTACCTAGAAAGTGTCTAATTCTGAGAAGTGACTAATGCAACCTGTATTTTGGGGGTGAAAATAGTAATTTTTAAACAAAATATTTTCTTTCTTGATATAAGGAAATACAAAATATATCACTTTCTATATAAGTATAATAACAATATGCACTATTTTATTAATTATAGAATGTTGATAAATATTCATATTTATTATAACATATAATAAGATATAAAACTGCTATTAATTGTGAATGCCTTCAGACCTTGACAATTTAAGGAAAATAAAGTAAATACTATCATAATCTAATTTCAGTGATTATCGACAAAAATAGGGGTTAGCCTAATAATTAAGAAAATGGCTTATATATAAGAAATAATTGTTATATTCATATATAAACACAAGTCAGGATTCAAAATGCTGGTGCAAAATTCTTTTTTTAATTTTTATTTTATTGATTATGCCATAACAGTTGTTCTATCCCCCCCTTCATTCCCCTCCACCCTGCACCACCCCACCCCCACCATTCCCCTGCTTTAGTTTCAGCAAAACTTTCATTTAGAATGGAAGGACAGATAAAGTGCTTCTCAGATAAGATCAAATTCAAGGCGTTCATCATCACCAAGCTCTTATTAGATGAAATGTTAAAGGGCAAAATTCTTTAAAAATTCTGCATTAGCTGAATATTATTCGGCCTTAAAAAAGAAGGACATTCTGACATAGGCAACAATAGTGCTGAATATTATCCTCAGTGACATAAGCCAGTCACAAAAACACAAATACTGTGTGATTCCACTTATATGGATACTTAGTCAAACCATACAGACAGAAAAAAGCATGTTGGTCTTCAGGGTGTTTCAGGAGGGGAACGTGGAGTTTCTGTTTCATGTGCACAGAGTTTCAGTTTTGCAAGAAGAGTCCTGGCGATGGACCGTGGTGGCAGTTGCACAACAACCTGAATGTACTTAATGCCACAGAACTGTGTATTTAAAAGTGGTTAGGATAGCAAAAGAAAAGTCTTCCCTACAAAAACTGTGATAGCTTAACGCTGAGAAAGGCATACTGCCAAGTGAGATTAAATAATGCCATTTACAATGTTGATAATACTAAGGATCACCTTACGTAACTATATAAATCATTTTTCAGAGACAATTGCTATCCATTAAGAAAGCTAAACTACAAACATCAGCAAGGCTTTTCCTGGCTTGCTCCATCAGATAGAGAAGCAGTCTTACTATTTGGGGGGTTTCATTAAAATAGAGTTGTTTAGTTTACCTCACCTCTTGCCAGGGCCACAACCTGGATATTGGATTCCTGAACTCAGACACACCCCATTAAGTACCTGTCATGCTTTATGAACATAAAGAAAATAGAAATCTTAGCCTTTGAAAGTTTACAACAAATTCAAGTTGTCTGACTACATGTATATTAAAATGGTCAAGAGTTGTTCTGGGTACAGAAATCGAATATTTAAATATAGGAGGCTCCCTGCAGAGAAGAAAAGACTGGTAGCTGGCTCTGGAGAGGAAGGAGAACGCAAGCTAGTGGATGACAGTGAAGGACAATGTGCCATCAGTTAAAAATAAATGACAGAGGAGCCCACACAGAGGGACTGGCTGGGGAGGTGTGAATTTAGAGAATGGCAAACAAACCAGCCAAAACCAGGTCAAGGACAAAGGTAACAGAAGGAAGTGAGAGCAGGAATGGCTTGCGTTTGGAGGCCAAGGCAGAAGTCTGCATTTGATGGAGGGGAGCGACTGGGAAGGCCTGCGGCCATCAGAGGGGTAACAAAGCAGGGGCTGCAAAGTGGGTCCACGCAAAGCAAAGAACGGACACAAGGAAACTAAATAGAAACAATGATTGCAAACCCTTGAATGCAAGCTACTTACAGACATGTTTCATTAGAGGCACAGTGAACAGGATAATGCATTTTCTTTACTTTAAACCTGCTCCCAACTGCCTCCAAGGGTTCATGTGTGCATGACCCATTTTGGAAACCCCGGTAGGCCACGGTCACATTCAAATTCAGTATGCCACACCACTGCCACACTAACCGTTCCCAGGAACGTGGTGGGATGGCTGATGGACAGAAATGGGTTGTTTGACAGGAAATTCCCCCAAACCAAGAAACTCATGATAAAAAATGCAACAGAAAAAAAAGAGCAGTGCTGTATTTTAGCTCAGAAGGGAAAGTAGCTACGTTATTCTCCCTGCTTATTAACAGGCCAACGTTTAGACCAACAGCTCTAACTGGCAGTGGAATTTTTGACTTTCTCTTCTGAAAACTGTAAGTCAGGCTAACGCTTTTCTGCATAATGATTGTCTACAAATGCAGTGACAATTTGTATTGGGTTTAGAGGGGCAGATGAAGATTTTTCAAAGTAGGGTGGCCAGTTTAAAGAAGCCTTGTCTTTTAGGTAAATACTAGAGATAGAGATGGAGATAGATATAGATATAGATATAGAGATATAGATAGAGACACACACATATACATTTGTGTATATGTGTGTGTATATATGGCATTTGTGTAGAAAGTCTCACCAGTATTTGCCTCCTTTGAGTTAAGATATTCAAGTAGGCCATATACTGGTGAGACTTTCTACGTGAATGCTAGTTTTAGTAATTACGTACTAATGGAGAAGAAAAGAGAAGATTACATTTGGATGAATAATAGGAGCTTTAAAAAGATACGACTTGGCTTTTAGGTTCTTAATGGAACTGCTTTGATGTAAAACGAATAATTATAGAGGTGGAAATAAGATAATCCAGGCACTCAGATGAGCATCATAAGAATGAAGGAGCGAAGAAAGGGAGGAGGAGAGAGGGAGGAAAGAAGAGGGAAGGAAATTAGACCCCTTCGAACACAGTAGCACAGCTGAATTATTTAATATTCTTACCTATACAATGGAAAATCTTGTTAATTCTTTAAGAAATAAAACTTCCATGGGTATGCCTTAACTCAAGGATCATTTGATATTTATTCATTGCCTGAAAAGTCTTGGTACTAATTTTTGAGAAGTAAAGACTGAAAAAGTGATTCCTACAGATGGGTACGTAAGCGGACAGCGAGATCTCTAGCAGAACCTGTACTTACACACTGGCAGCCCCCCCAAAAGCTGATTTGTCCCAACGTTCATCCTGTTTCTGAATGTTTAGTTATAAGTTTCAAAGTCTGAAAGATATCTTCTCACAAAAAATGGCATTTTCTTCCCCTTTGTGCATTTGTGTACATAGTCTACACTTTTTGTGAACCATTCTTTACTTTTATTCTTTAAAGTGTACCACCTGACTTACCTGTAAGATCTTCAGTCTCAATTCATGAAAACCCTTGCACTTGTTTTTCCTAAAAACTCGAACATGGGTTTCTGAGTTAGACAATGAACTTCATCCTTTTGTACAAATTAAACCAGGAGTTATAAAGTAGTAGGTAAATGAAAAACTGGGTTTAAAAACAAGACCAAAAACTGTCCAATCTATAGCAGGCTCAGCTTTTTTTTTTTGAGAGCGAGATTAAGGTGAGTGCAGTCAAGTGGTATGAAGGTCACCAAACAAAATGTTGCAATCTTAAAGTGCCATTGATGTGCAGACCCTGTTCAGCAGCAGCTTTAGAGTAATTCGTGTGACTCTCTATTCATTAATGTTTCACCCCAAACCATTCATAAATGCACACGACATTGGTATGTTACATTTGCAGTAAAATGTTTTAAAAATTAGACTTTTTTCTTTAAATAAAAATTCTTTATATAACTTTTTAAAATCTGGCTTCCTATACCCAGCTTTGGTGAGAGGACACAGAATTCCAGAGTTTGTGTCTACATGATAGATATGAGCTCTGACAAGTCTGTCCTCTGTCCTTTAATTACTCATTATACACCTGCTGACAATGTTAAATTACCAAAGGGTTTCAGTTGGAAGTTGTCTGATTTTCACAGGAAGGAGCAGAGAGCCACAAGCCACCACACAGCACCACAGGTACCTGGAGCTTTCGAAGTCACAGCCAGAAGGAAGCGTTCCTGATACGGGGACCTCCCTCCAGCTGCCACCCACTCCTGACCTGCTGTTTTCCTGTTGGTACTGACAGCTCCACGCAGAGCAAACAACAGCTCCCGCTCTGAATGGAGAGGCTCATCTTCTCAGTCCATACTGCCAGTGCAACCCAGAGAGTCAACTAGGGCGTGAGTCAGACTTGCAGCTGATAAGCACAAAGCTGACCTTTACACCTCGGCCTTTAGTTACTAGAGCATTGGGTTATTTCACTTGGTGTTTGCTCAACAGTCACAGGATCACGAGGGTCCACGTTCACCGAGGTGGGGCGAACCTGAGAACCTTGCTCCAACTCCCACGTTGCAATTGATAGAAGAAGGTTGGGGGATGGGCCAGGAGAGGCCTCAAACCCCAAGTCACAAGCACCCCATGTCACCAGCCATTAGAACGCGTCCTTTAGCATCTAGAAATCATTGGAGTACACAAGTCTGCTGACTGGCTCTTAGCCACCTGCTTCGGAAGGAATGAGAGTCTTTGGACCCAGGAGGGCAAGCATTTTCTCTTCATTTTCACCTGTCACAGTGCCACACTGATGCTAGAACTTGAGGCAAAAGGTAACATCAGCAGTACTCATCCTGTCGTTACTAGAAATATAATATTGTCTTTATCATGGAGTTTTTGCATTGATTCTGATATTTTGAAATATGGCATTAAAACAGTATTTATCTTGATCACTTAGTTTTTCGGTGCCTAAGGTGAGTGGCCTCATTTGCCTCATCTTAGTCCTGGCCTACTCTGTCACCACACTGTTTTTATTTTACATTTTCATTTAAAACTGGTAGCAGATCTAGGCAGGGCAGCGGAGCTACAGCTGGGGTAAGAAAGAGAGAAGAGCCCAGAGCACACAGGAAAAGCATCATGGAGCATCTCCCACGTGTCAGGTACTGTGCTAGACCTGTGATGTACATTCTTTCTGGTCCTCACCTATGGAGAAGATACTGGGAGACGGCCCCCCAAAATAGTGCATTGTCTTCTGAAGGGTGGGCCCCTTGTAGGGGGTGGGCTTCCCCTCACTCGGGATCCATCTGTGTCAGAGTACCAGTGGGCGTTGTTCTGAGAGGCTGCATTTGGGTCAGTGGTGTTTTTGGAGACTCTTCCATCCCGTTTGCCCATTTCACGATGGCCAGTGTACGAGCACACCCGCCCACACGGTGCTGCGTGTTCAGCAGTTCTGGACTCAAACCGTCAGGACCCTGGTGCCTCACCCTCCCTCCCTAGTCGCATGATCTCGCCCTGAGCAACTTTTTTTTCCTTCAGATGAAAAAAATTCCTCCAAGGGCAACATTTTGCCGATGTGAAGGAGGTGAAACTAAAAATGGCAGAAGCACAAAGAGGCATCGAAATTGACGATTTCAAAATCTGTTTTGAGCAGTTGGAGAAAATGTCTCGAAAAGTGTATTGCATCAAATGAAGAGCACTTTGAACGTGACTGAAATTTACACAGGTAGGAATAAATATACATTTTTTAAATAAATAAATTCCATTTTTTGGGTCCCCTCTCATACACTAATCTCCAGTTGAGGAAGCTAAAGTTTTGAAAACTGTGTTCTTTCCACTTTTCCTCCATTCCAGGTACTGGCCATACAAACTTTCTGTTACTCAAGACAGAAACTGGGAGTTGCCCATGACTCCTCCTCTCCATCCCATTGAATCTATGACCTGTTCTTTGAGCACCTGTAACTGTTTGTGGACACCCAAACAGGAAATGGGAGAGGTCAAAAGATGGTCTGATAATAATTTCCACACTCTTTTGGCCATATCTTCCACCTCTTTGAGGAAGATCAGTCACCAAATTGTTTTGATGTCCCATTGGCCAGTCACAAGGTTGAATTATTGCAAGTGCTGACGGTTTTGTAAATGTATCAAGTACATTTCAGTTTCATCCTGAATGCAAGCCCAATCTCTAGCCCAGGACCAGATTCCACTGCCTAACACCTCACTGTTGTATAGCTCATGTGCATCACAAACTAGTATGCTCTAAAACAAACTTCTTGATCTTCTCCTCAAGGGCTGCTTCTCTCCAGTTTCCTCCACCTCAGGGCCTGGCAGTGTCAATCACCTGGTCCTCCAACCAGAAGCCTAGCAGTTGTCTTTGACATCTCATCCTCTTCCCCATCCAAACCATAACCAACAGCTGTCCATTTACGTAGGAAAAACAGTACCAACAACAAAACCTACTGAAGCATTCACTATGTGCCAGGTATATGATGCACATGGGGCATTATTAACTCATTCAATTTTCATACCTCTATGAGATGATTCCTATTATTATTTCTACTTTACTACAAGGAAAATGGCGGCATAGAGAGCTAGTTTGCCAGTGGTCATTCAGCTAGTAAGAGAAGGGGTTAATATTCTAACCTAGAAAATGTACTCGCACCCATGACATCAAAATAATCTCAAATCTGTTCACCTTATTGGTCTTCCACTGCCCCATCTTGGCCCAAGCTCTCATCATGGCTCACCCAGGCAACTGCAAATGCCCCCTAAGGGCTCATTTCGGTTCTATTTCTACCTGACTTCCACACATCAATCTTCACGAAGCAGCCAACATGCTTTTTTAAAATTAGTATCAGATCATGTCATTTCCTCTGCTAAAATCCTCAGAACCACTCAACTATTTCCTGAACAAAATTCAAACTCCTTACTGTGGCCTACAGCCTCCTGTGTGAACTGGCTCCTGCTCTGTTCTTAGTTTTGCCTCCTGCCCCTCTCCACGTCATTTACGACCTTTCTAGCTCACTGGCCTTCTTACCCTTCCCTGGACTTAGCAAACTCTTTCCCGCCTCCTAGTCTCTGCCCGTGCTATTCAGTGTGCCAGCATGCTTTCCTGCCCTGGTGGCTCGCTCCACCCATCCTCCCTCTGTGTCAGGTTACTTCCCTGACCCCTCAGCCTAAAATAGATCTCCCTAGTATTCTCTCTTAGCACCCTCTTCTTTCCCCTCCTAGCAATTTTGAACACGTTGTCATTCTGCATTTATTTGCCTTTTCACTTGTTTATTGCCTGTAAGCTTCAGGAGGAACAACCGATGTCTGTTTTATCCACCACCTTACTCCAGCCCCTAGACCAGAACTTGGAATACGAACAGTGCAATTATTTGTTCAATGAATGAATTAATCCTGGGACAGCCCTTTAAAAACTTTTGCAAATTAACTAAAAAAGGCACTTAAATAAATATAATCGATTTTAGGAAGAGAGATCCTTAAAAAGAAGAATGTAAATGTAAATAAACATATATACATACACATATGTACATAGGTATGTATTCCACTTCTTTATTTATGACATGTGAACAAAAATTATTAAACCAAATATTCAATACTTGGAACATACATAGAAGAAAATAATAAAAGAAAATCTCTAAAGAATTATTTTTTGAGAAATCTTATGGCATATTTTAACTTTCTAAAATGTTCTTTTGTTATAGCTGTCAATCCCAGTGAGGTGAGAACCAAACTTTCAACTGTTCTTATTTAATCCCGAGACTTAGTGGTGTTCTGTAAGTATCTGTGAATAATAAACTATGGACAATTTCTATCACATATCTTCTGACTACTTATTTCTCTTCCTAACTTAGACAGTGAATTTTTTATTGGTGCCAAATCTCTCATCAGGAAATAGCTGAACCATTTATTGTACATGATTTTCTATGGTCCTGCTGTGTCATAGATATTTTAGGAATAAAGACAGATTCTGTATGTGTCTACTAGGCAATTATTTGGCTTGAGATCAAGGTACCTATTCTTTAGGATTTCAAGTCTTTAAAACAAAAAGAAAGTAAATGGGAGAAACATTTTGCAAATTGCATATCTGACAATGGATTTGTATCTAGAATGTATAAAGAATACATTAATAAAAATACAACACAATTCAAAATCAGCAAAGTATGTGAGAGAGCATTTCTCCAAAATAGGCCATAGAGGATATGCAAATAAAAACTATAAGAGGTCACTTTATACCCACTAGAATAGTAATAATAGAAAACGGAAAACATTAATCATTGGTGAGGATGAGGAAAAATTGGAACCCCCATATACTGTTGATGGACATGTAAAATGCTGTAGCACTTTGGAAGACAGTCTGACAATTCCTCAGAAATGGTCTGGTAAATCTAAAGTTACCATATGACCCAGCAGTTCTCCTTCTAGGTACACACTGAAGGTAAATGAAAGCACATGTCAGCCCCAACTTGCACACAAATGTTGATAGCAGCATTTGCATAACAGCCAAAAGGTGGAATGAGACAAATATACATCAACTGATGGACGGAAAATAAGACATGGTATAAGCATATTCAGCACTAAAAAGAAATAAAATACTGATACATGCTACACCATCAATACATCTTGAACATGCTGCTAAGTGAAAAAGGGCCAGTCACAAAAGGCCATGTATTATATGATTTCACATATACGAAATGCCCAGAACAGGAAAATTCATAGAGACATGAAGTAGACTAGTGGCTGTGTTGGGTGGGTCAGGGAGGAGGAGGAGTTCAAAATAAGTACCAGTTTCTTTGGGGGGTGATACAAATAATATAAAATTACATAGTGGTGATGGATGTACTGCTCTGACTATGATTTCAAGAAACTACTGAATTGTATACACTTAAAATAAGTAAATTGTATGCTATGTGAATTGAATCTCAATAAAGCTGCTATAAAAAGTAACAAAAATCTAGTATTTACTATAATTTAAAAGTAGACATATGCTTGGCTATTACAAGTACCTATATGGCTTTAACCAAAGAAAATTTATAATTTGCTTTCACGCACAAAAGATGAGTTTTAGATAAAACTTTCTCACAG